ACAGAAGGGCTGGGAAGCCCTCAGCTAAACAGGGAAATCATGGTCCTCTTACAAAAGAAGAAAGAGGCTTATAAACAATGGAAGCTCGGGACGGGCCCCAAGGAGGACTATTCTACAATGGCCTGCATTTGCAGCATGGTCCTCTTACAAAAGAAGAAAGAGGCTTATAAACAATGGAAGCTCGGGACGGGCCCCAAGGAGGACTATTCTACAATGGCCTGCATTTGCAGGGAACAGATAAGACAGGCTGAAGCGGCAACTGAACTTAGATTAACAGGAATTGAGGACAAGAAGTCCTTCTTTAGGTACATAGGGAACAGGAGGAAAACTAACGGGAGTGTGGGGCCAGTGCTCAACAACTCAGGAGAGCTGGTTACCGGCACCCAGAAGAAAGCTGAACTCCTGAATGACTACTCTGGCTCGGTCTTTCACTGGACCAAGGGAAAAACCATGCCAGGTAGAGGAGAAGATTAGAGGATGAGCACAGTAGGAATAATCGCCTTCCTGGTATTGCCATAGGATTGGTGTATGACCAATTAATAAAACTACACATATACAAGCCAGCAGGACCAGATGATCTTCATCCTAGAGTGCTGAAGGAACTGGCCAAGTCATTGCGGAACCCCTGGCAAAACTCTTCCACAACTCATGGCACTCTGAAAGAGGTCCCTGAGGACTGGAAGAGGGCCAATGTTGTGCCCATCCACAACAAGGGCAGGAGGGAGGACCCAGGTAACTATATAATCAGTCTAACTTCCATCCTAGGGAAAATCCTAGAAAAGTTCATCAAGGAGTCTATCTGCGATAAGCTTGCAGAAGAAGGTAAGATTCTGAATGACAGCTGGTCTTGCCTTCCCAACCTCATCTCCTATGACCAGGTCACTCACCACATGGACACGAGAGAGCAGGATGACACTGTATACCTAGACTTCCAAAAGGCCTTTGGTCTAGTATCCCACGATGTCCTCGTGAGAAAATTGGAGGATTGTGGGCTTAACTTTGAGACAGTCAGGTGGGTGAGAAACTGGCTGTAGGATAGGACCCACAGAGTCGCAGTGAACAGATCTGTGTCATCCTGGCGAGAAGTGGACAGCGGTGTCCCGCAGGGGTCGGTGCCTGGTCCAGTACTTTCAAATCATTAATGACAATGTTGAAATGTGGGGGTGAAGAGCTCACTGGCCAAGTTCACAAACAACACCAAGTTATGGGGGAATGTGGTCACGTTTGAAGATAGGTTACAGTTACAGGCGGACCTAGACAGGCTAGCAAGTTGAGCAGATCAGAACCTGATGAAGTTCAACACTGAGAAATGTAAAGTGCTTTACCTTGGGATGAGCAACCCCCAACACACCTACAGGCTTGGTGGCACCAAACTATCTAGCACCACAAATGAAAGGAACCTGGGGGTAATAATAGACCACAGTATGAGTATGAGCTGGCAGTGCGATGAGCCAGCAGATGCTGTAGCCAGTAGGGCAAATAATACTCTGGCATGCATCAATTGATGCATCTCCAGCAAAGACAAGGAAGTGATGCCAAAAATGCCTCCACCTTTCCCTGTACATTAAAATCATGGGATAAGAAGCGGACTTCAGCCAGGTTTTAGCCAAAAACCTAACTTTGTCAGATGTCACTGTTGACAGGAAAGCTTTAAAAAAAAAATGATCAACTGTTTTGAGATGTACAGAGCATTTTCTCAGGCGGTATCTGGTTGCTGTAACTTTATGGGTTGCTGGAGCCTGTGTGCTGTGGAAGGCTGACACTAGCAATCCGGCTTCCAGATCCTGTAAGTGATGTAGAAAACACAACTCAGATGCATGCTTGGTGGCAAAAGCTCAGAAACATTTGTTGTCAGACAGAACACCAGCTGGTCTGATTAACCGCTAGTCCAATCTGGAGAAGCAGACTGGTAGAGACCCCATGTGTTATTCATGCACCCCTAGGTCTTTCTACAAGGAATGCCTCTCAACTCCTATATTTATACTTGTGTCTTCTTCCCCCACCCCCATGTCATGCCCACTCTTTTCTCTCCCTCTCTGTTGAGATTCATAGACATTAGGGTCCAAAGGAACCCTCAGTAGGTCATCAAGTCTGACCCCCCCCTGCCCTGGGCAGGAAAGAGTGCTGGGGTCAGAAGACTCCAGCTAGATGCTTGTCCAGTCTCCTCTTGAAGACCCTCAAGGTAGGAGAGAGCACCATCTCGCTTGGAAGCCCATTCCAGATTCTGGCAATCCTTACTGTGAAGTTCTTCCTAATGACCAACCTAAATCTGCTCTCCATCAATTTGTGGCCACTATTCCTAGTTACTCCAGGGGGTGCAAATAGAGCACCTCCTAGTCCCTGCTGCCCTCCCCTGATGAATGTATAGGCAGCCACAAGATAACCTCTGAGCCTTCTCTTGCAAAGACTGAAGAGACCTAGGTCCCTCAATCTCTCCTCATAGGGCCTTGCCTGCAGGCTTCTGACCATACGAGTGGCCCTCCTCTGAACCCTCTCAAGATTCTCCACATCCCTCTTGAAGTGCAGCGCCCAAAACTGGATGCAGTACTTCAACTGTGGCCTGACCAGTGCTGCATAGAGGGGAAGCATCATTTCCCTGGGCCTGTTTGTCATGCATCTGCTAATGCATGATAAAGCACGGTTAGCTTTATTGATCACGTCATCACACTGACAACTCATGTTCATCTTGGAGTCAGCTACGACTCCAAGATTCTTTTCCACTGCTGTGCTGCTGAGGTCATCCCCCAGCCTGCAAGTGTGTTGGTGGTTCTTTTTGCCCAGGTGCAGCACTTTGCACTTGTCTTCGTTGAACTGCATCCTATTTTGTTCTGCCCATTTTTCCAACCTGTCCAGATCTGCCTGGATCCATTCCCTACCCTCTGGTGTGTTAACTTTGCCCCATAATTTGGTATCATCTGTGAACTTGGACTCTCTTCACCCTTGTGCAAGTCACTGATTAAGACATTGAATAACTGGTCCAAGGACTGAGCCTTGTGGAACTCCACTGCCTATATCTTTCCAGGTCAATATCGACCTGTCCACCACCACTCTGTGTGCAACCCCTAAGCCAATTTGCTACCCACCTGACCATGCAATCATCCACATCACAGCCTGACCATGCAATCATCTACATCACAGCCTGGCAGTTTATTTATGAGAATGGAATATGATACCGTATCAAAGGCCTTCTTAAAGTCTAGGTAGATGACATCTATCACGACTCCTGTGTCTACCCTTAATTATTCACCCTTAATTATTTTGGGGGGGCAGACAGAACTGCAGCTCCCACCTGTAACTCAGAACCATTTTTGCAAAGTGTTCAGAGTTACACTGTTAGTCCAGACCAAACAGAAGTTCAGTTTGTTCCAGGGGAAGGGGAATCTAGCTGTGGCCTGCGAGCCTGCAGCCAGGTTCCCATAGCAACAGACTCTCTCTCTCCCTGTCTGTCTGCCAGTGCTCCTTCCAGAATGGGAAGGGGGGAGGCAGCGGATGGGGCTGCCTAGCTGGTGCTGAAGGGTGAGTGAACTGGAGCCCCCCCACCTCAAGGGAGCTGAAATACACTCACCCCATGGTGGGGGGAAGGGGGCTGAACCCCCCACCCCCACCAGACTGAACTCCATCTGCCCCCTTTCCCCCTCCCTCCCATTCTGAAAACAGCAACAGGCTGGGAGCTGGGCAGACAAGCCACAAGAGATGCTAGTCTGTAACATCTTTATCTGACACCTCATGCAATGACAGATCAGATTTTCACCCAATGGGCTATTTTTTAAGTTGTTTGCAGCCATGCCCTTGTGTTTGGTTAGGGCTATAAATTGCTTTCTGTGGCCAGACTGGTGGAAAATCATCATTTCTCTTTGTACCCTTTGTTTGCCAAGTTGACACATCTGCTCTTGCATTAGTTAATATCTCACTTGTACAAGTGTAACTGCTGCTGTTGTGCTCTTTTGGGGTCTTTCTGCTTGTTACAGAAGCTTTATGTATTTCTTTCTAGCTCAACCCCTTTCTGCTGCTTTCCAGCACTTTGGCTTAGCAGAGCTACAGCTTGGCACAGGGGTTGTCAACTGGGGGTATGTGTACCCCTGGGGGTACTCGAGAGGTACGCACAGGCAGCCACTGTTTGAACTTTCCCCACCCCACAGGGGTGCGTGGCCAGGGGAAGCTTGCACGGGGCTGCTGCCACTCTGCATCCAGCCACGCGCCACGCCCCCCCAAACTGACATCCAGCCACACACACCCCACCCCAGCCAGGGGTACACTGCTCTGTGTCTAGCCACCTGGGGGGTTGTACAACAATCAAAAAAGGTTGAAAACCCCTAGCCTAACACAACTGGAAGGCCTACAAAGATATTGTCACTTTTTACATGACCAAGCCAAAAGGGAAAAAACCTATTGGAGGACAGAGAACATATTTGGGGGGTAGGGGGGGTCGAGCACACGTTTGTGTGTGCATGCACCCCCCCACCAGTTTGTGGGTCTGTCATGGGGTTAGGGCATGGGGGGCAGATCAAAGCCCCCACAGGGAGGGAGAGAGTGGAGCAGACGCAGGGTTGAGTGCCGCCCTGCGGCCGGGGCGGGTCATGGGACGCGCAGAGCTGGGGCGGCTCGTCCAGGGGCGCAGGAGCACTGGTAGAGACCTGTGCCCACGG